AAATATTTTATTTTATTTTTAAATATTATTATTTTTTAAAATATTTAATTTTAAAAAAAAATTGTAAAAAAAACTTGAATCATCTATCCTAACAAATTATTTGACTAATACTTAAAAAAATAACAAAATATTTTTTTCATAAAAGTAAATAATAAAAAAATTTGAAAAAAAATAATTTTAAAGAACAAAATAATTTTTTAAAAAAATAAATTTTTAAAAAGAGTTTGATTATAAGTTTTAAAAGAGTTTTAAATTTTTTTATTCAAATTATGATTTGAAAATTAAATCAAATGTCACCTTTATTTTTTAATTTTTATGGTAGTGCAAGCCACAAGTCTTGAATGCAGGGTGAAACTGTGGGGTTTGCACCGAGCTTATTTCAATTATATGGATTATTCATATTGTAAAATTAGATGAGTAGATTCTACAAAAATAAAATTAGATTAATTAGACATTTGTAATTTGTTATAATATCACATTTATTTATTTATTTATTTATTTATAAATATCATTGATATTTTTTTTAACTCGTTTTCAAATTTTGATGATGTGAGTATGTGTTCCTTTTCTCGTGATTAAATTGGTTCTATTATGCTCTGTTAGCTTTTTCATGCTTTGTTAGCTTTTTCTTTCTCATCTGGACGAACTTGATTACTTACTACTGTTCGTTGCTTGTCAAAGCTGGATGATTATTACAATTCTATATGTTCATTCATCTTAAAAAGGAAGAGATAATGCTCCTAGGATTACAAATTGAGAAAATTATTGTACTCAGCCATGAAAAAACTCTATATTGATTGTTGTTGTGTCAGTATTTGATTAATGATGGTGTACTTATAGGGTCGGGATCTTGCCTCTATGACCTCTTATGTGCGGACCCCTCCACAAATTGGTATTGCCAACAGAGGGATGGTCAGATGCCTTATTTTGGTAATTCAGCTTTAATGTTCGTCTTTCTTGTTCTAATGTTATTTTTTAATATTTTGTTGTTTCATCAATATTTTTTTCATGCATATATTTTACTTTCCATACCCCTGACCAATTTGAAGTGTGTTTGCTTCATCTCAACTAGACAATACTATGGATACACCATCAAAAATATAATAGGGAGAATTTCGGGAAATCCAATAACATTAAACAATTTGATCTATTTGTATTAGTGTATTGTCCCAAAATTAGTTGTTTTATTGCCACATTATATAGTATAATTTTCTTTATATTTTGGAATTAAAATTATGGTTCAAAAGTCTTGTGTATCCTCATAATAGTACCGTACCCTCAACCGACCATCGATCCCATCATAATTTATTCATAAACAAAAGATTTAAACACATTCCCAAAATTCATTAAACATGTTAAAAATCTCACCATGGGGATGCCTGTGGTGGTTGTCTGTCTTAGTGCTAGAGGGAGGGATGGGGTGTTTGGTGGGGGACTAATTGCTTACAATAATATTTTCCTTTTTTTGACAGATGTAAGTTATTTTATACTCACATGAGTTACTGTTCTTGTCAACTTTTGTGTTATCTGTTTTCTTCTGCTTTACTACCTATATCATTGTGAATCCATAACTATTCCCTCTATTGAGTGATTTCTCAAACTCATCATATCTGTCATATGGTTTTGATTCTCAACAAAAGCATACACGTTTGTCTCATAGTGATTCACTCATCTGCTATAATGACTATGCTAGTCTTATTGTTCTCTGAATTGTATTATATTGTATGGCTTCTAGTAGAAATTTTCACTTCTATAGTTTGTTTAACATTATGTGTATCTTGCATAATCCATGCCTTATCAATCAGACGCACAAGAGAGGCTGAAGAATCTGTTGCGTCATTCAGGCAATGGGTTTTGTGCAGATTGTGGATCTCCAAATCCAAAATGGGTGTAAGTATCATGTCTAATATTTTTTGCTTTTCTTTATGCTTGATCCATCAACCAATATATTTCAATATCAAATGTGCCCTTTTTAAAAAGAAAAAGAAAAAGAAAATTTCAAGTTTTGTCTTTCTTATGTTGGTGTTTTCCAAATCATAGCATCTGTTGTAAGTTAATAACACCCATATTATATTGATCCTTATTTGTTTTATAGTTTTTAGTGAGTTATATGTTGATATCATATGATTTTGATTGTCCATATAATACTCCATTTTATCATTTATATGACCACATGATTTTTTCTTTTTTGGTGGGTGAGATTTATATAAAACAGGAAGAGTAGGGAATCAACCAAAAAAATTAAAAAATATGTTATAAGGCTAATGATGTGTAAAGGTTATAAGAGATCAAACTTAAACAAAATAAATGTTATAAGACCAATGATATGTAAAGGTTATGAGAGATCAACCAATTTTAATTTTTGGTCATTATCTTTAATTGTTTTATTTTTGGTTCATTTGTTGATGAATTTTCAGTGTGTTGAAGTTTTAGGCAAAATAGAAGAATTGGAGCTGAAAGTTGTCTTTTGTGTGTAGGAAATCTACTCTTTCTATCTGTCTTCTTTGAAAGTCTATATTTGAATTTGGGTCCCTTATTTCTAGTGCGTATGAGTGAATCTGGAATCTTTTTTCAATTTACTGCTTCAGTTTAATGCTGTCTTTATAACTCTACAATCATTTAGAAATCGATCTTTGTTTGCAAGACTCATTCTTTTCTTTTTGAACAATCTTATGTTCTTACATCTGTTTTTATTTTCTTTCCCCTGATTGCGTGACCTTTATCATTTGCAACTAACAGTTGCACGCAAATTGATATAACTAGAGGGCACCATGCGTCTTGTAGCCCAATTGGTACATAAATGCTACACCCAAAGTAAAATGGGTGTTTCGAGCCTCACTAATTGGTACGTAGTTTAATGTGATGTATGATGCTCGTAATAACGATGCGAAGAAAGGACATGAAAAGCTTGAGGGAAAATGTGCTTTTTATTGTTGAATTACATTAGATCCAACACAATTTTGCTGTTTAGTGTAATCATTGTTTGGTCAGTGGTGGGGTTTGAGTTTTTGTTCATAAATTTGTTTACTACGAAATGTGAACTGATTGAGGTTAACCATTGTCTTCAAGTCCATGTCTAACTCGACCATCACCACCATAATTATTGTTGTCAGCTATAATCCTCCTCAAAATAATATTTGTAAGTCATAACTCAGTCTCATTCTCTCTTATAGGCTGAGTTGATATAGTTGTGGTAGACTGGTAGTAATTTAAACAAGAATTTTGTCAGCTGGAAATTATATTCTTTTTGTTGCTGTTAAAAAAAGGAAAATACAGGGTGTTTCATTGGGAGTATGTGCAATAAAAAATTTCCAGTATGAATGAATATGGGATAAATGTATGGAAACTTCGAAATGATACACCAAATTTTCTCCTTTTATTTAGTATAGTATAGATGTACATATTAATGTTCTTTTTCTTTTTATGTTTAGTTGTTTAATTGGTTTGGTACTTTGATTTCTCTTTGTACAGCTGTTGAGTATCTTTAGAATTAGATTCAGAACAAGACTGAACTGCTATGTTGATGGAATAAGTTAAAAAAAAATTACCTTTTTCTGTGAAGTTTAAAATTTGTTGAGACCCATTACATATCATTTTGGCTACATCAGTTTGATTTATTTATATTTATTTATTTTTTAAATTTAAGAATATGACTATAAAACAACCACCACATAACTATACTAATAAATAAAAATTCAGACTATAAAACAACCACCACATCCTCTTAGACAGCAGGCAACATCAGATCATTAAGCACCAGCAAAATGGCAAGCAACAGCAGACAACAAGCTTCAGCAAGAAGGTAACAACAGCAGCAGCAGCAGTAGCCAGTAGCACAGAACCTAATTTTGGAGAAGCTATGAGTATGGAAGGTGTCACTGCCATATTTTGGTGTTTCTATTGAAGAATATGTGTTTCTACCACACCGACTCTGGTTAAATGATAAATTTGATTTTGTTTGGAAGCAGGTTAGTTGAAAAGACCACACAGCTGAACAGTGAGAAAAAGCAGAAAGAAACTGAAGTCCAGAAACTTATGGAAGAAAATGTGAGGTTGACCACTCTACTTGACAAAAAAGAGGCCCAGCTCTTGGCCATGAACGAACAATGCAAGGTGATGGCCTTGAGCGCTTTGAATATTTAGTTTGGTAGTAGGGTCTTGATTGCATGTTGCCTTAATGTGTTTTCTGCTCGGCCCACTTGCTGACCTTCATTGGGAGTCGGCAAATAATATTGGGCAAAAAAATCTGCTTTCTTGAATGTACCATTGATTTCCAACTTAACCTTCACATGTATCAATCAACTGAGTTGTTCTTAATTTGTTAGAATCTCACACTAATAAATTAATATAACCAACACTTGTTTACACACATAAATGTTATGTCCAGGTTCCAGTGGATCTTGTCATTGACAATTCTGTTCAGGTTGATGTGGCAGGAAGTGAATGCAATGCAGGCAAATATGGGGCTTGAATTTCAGAGAAACAAGGAGAGGTTTGTTTTTCTGAAGTGGGGTTCCAATGTTTTTCACAATATGCTCATTGTTCCTCCTGGTTCTGGTATTGTCCACCAGGTAAGACTTTGGCATCATTAGTGCATCAAGGGTATTTCTATATCTAGATGTTATACTGTTGTTAAAGGAAAATTCTCATGGCAAGGTGCAATAATTTGCCCTTAAGGTGGTATGAATGGTTTACTCTTAAAAGGGCCAAAACATTAGATAGGTATAGGCTCAATACATGAGGTTTGCAATGTTTAACTATTTATGGGGCTTCCAGAGTAAAGCCACATTTACCTCTAGCCTCTTGTAAATCATAGTCCAAATTTTCTCATTTTTTTAGCACTATAATATTATTTGGTAGGTTTGGCATTTAGCAAGTGACTCTGGTAATTTTCAAGTTAATCTTGAATACCTTGGATGGGTTATTTTCTACACAAATGGCATTCTGTACCCTGATAGCGTGGTTGGAATTGATTCCCATACAAATATGATTGCTGGCTTAGGAGTTGTTGGCTGGGGAGTTGGAGGAATTGAATCTGAGGCTACAATGCTTCGCTAGGTATTTTGAGATAATAATGTATTTTCTTTATGATTTTCTATACGCTTGTGCCAATTGTTAGTGTTTGCAGTTATTCTTTGGTAGATAGACATGCATGAAATGGGTAGCTGTTTTTTCTTCTTTTTCCTCCAAAGGTGCAAAGAAAATGCAGCTTCTGCTTCTTCAAAACCTGCTGCTGGTGCTGGTGATAGTAACTGCAATGTATCTCCCCCCCCCCCTCCAAAAAAAAGAGTAAATTCTTGAGTTTTTATTTATTTATTTATGGGTACCTAGAATTATGGTTCAACAGTAATAATAATATATATTCACAAAAAGATCGTACACAAGCTGTATTGAAATTTATCATTTTTAAATATTGTGCTCATTAGTGACCTTCTAATTACAATGTCATTGACACTGAGCTGCTGTGGCATCTAATTGTTAACAGGGAAGTTACTTCCAAAAGAATTAAGATCAAGCAAAAATAATTAATGTTTCTATTTTGGTTTGCTGAATTAACTTTTTAGTTTATTCATATGCATCAGCGGTTTCTGGATTAATTTGTGTTTTTATTTTTCAGGTCAGAATTTTTTTGGAGATGCAAAATATGGTCCAAGAATTAAAGAACTTAGTTTTTTTAAGTTTTTTCATTTTTTAATATATGTAAGCACAGTTAATTTTTTATTATTTAATTCCTTTGTATATACTTTTGAATATTTAATTTTCATTTATGAAATATATGACGTTATTCTATTCAATATGTGGTTATGATTCAAAATATAGTATATAGTGTGTATTACATTATTCAAATGTGCATACAAAAATAATATTGATTATTTTTCAAATATGTAGCACCTTTTTTTTATCAC